TACCCTTTGAGAATGTTCATATCTGTTGGATCGGCCCGATTGCTCCTGGTCCGGATCCACGGAGATGTTCTCCTTTATCCGGGGTTCCGTCGAGCAAACGAGACGGCGACTGTCTTTTTCCCCGTTCTTTTACAATATTTTCTCTGGTCCCGTTAGCGACCCTGCCACGGGACCCATCCGCGCGCGATCTTATCGGCTGTATCGTTTCAGGCATCTCTGCCTGAAGGATGCGAGCTAAGTCTTGGATTAAATTCAACGGGAACGAAGTCGTACCGTACCTGCCGTCGCGCCGACGAGGATCGCTGTTCTACCATTCTTATATCTTATTACCATTCTTACGTTACCAAATTACCATTCTCTTATGCCCGACTGTTCACCGTCCTCCTCGTAATTCAACCGTGGACTTTTACCCAAAATATTAGGTTGGGGAATAAGTCCGTAGCGTTTTTATATTTTCTTTTATTTTACAACGATTTCTTGCTGTTCGACAAAGTGTATAATATTCACTCGATAGAGCTCTTTCTGCTCTACAAAGCTGTGCTAATCGTCTTTTTGAGTGATTTAATTTTCTATTACTTTCGAGGCTTAGAAATGGAATATTCAGGCGGTAAAAAGCAACATTTTCGACACCTTCTCTTCTTCGCTTTTCATCGAGGCCAAAAAGCTGCCGAAGCAGCCCGGGACATTTGCAACGTATACGGAGAAGGTGTCACAGGCGAGTCTACGGCACGGAAATGGTTTGCGAAGTTCAAAAATGGCGATTTTGACGTCGATGACAGGCCCTGCAGCGGAAGACCTTCCGAATGCGACGAAGAGCGTCTGAAAGCACTTTTGAAGGAGAATGGTCACCGAACAAGTCGTGAATTGGCAGAAAAAATGAACTGCGATCATAAAACGATTCTCAATCATCTTCATTCGATGGGATTTGCCGAAAAATTGGCAGCCTGGGTGCCTCGCGAGCTTAACGAAAACAACAAAGAAAATCGCCTTCAAATAAACACGCTACGAACTTATTCCCCAACCCAATAAAATCGCTCTGCTGTAGTCGAAGAGACTGCAGGCAACTACCGTTTCTAGAACGGTCATTTTCAACCTTAATAATTTGGTTTTTAATTTAAATATTTCAAATTCTTTAAGAGAACGATTCCGTAAAGTCATCGTTGTCATCAGCTTCTAAGTTGAAATACAATGCGCATCGATTTCAATGATTTTTACTTGCCGTGACTTCGGTCACTCGAAATTAAAATTGACGCTTGCTTCTCGAAAAATTGACGATGCTCGAAACGTTAGAATTTTTTTAATTGTAAGGTGATGTCGAATGATACGGCGAGCGAAAATCCGAAATCGTGATTTTTCTTGAAAATTTTACAAGTTTTACGTTTCTAAAAATGTGGGCACACATTTTGTTCGTGCTCTTGAATTGTTCGTAAATGTACGAATTCGCGAGCGGATGCACGTTGTGAATAGACTGCGGAAGTTGATGCAGGTGTAACATGCAAGATGCATGCAAAACATATGCAACACGAGTGCGGAGCATATGCAACACGTATGCCGAGCGTACGCAACACGTATGCAAAGAATAAGAACAACAAATGCAGGAGATGCAGCGTTTTAACGTGAAAGAAGAAATTCGCGCAATTCTGGTTAATTTGGTGGCTCGGAAAATTGTTCGAGCATTGTTCTATGTATTTCTTGAACGCTTTGCGCAGTTCTTGCGCATTTTCGAACGTGTCAACTAATTTTTTGTATATTCATGGCATATTGTCATCGTTTTATTATTTCAGCTAATAAGAAACGAATCTTGAACGATGCGCGAATTTTGCAGACGTGCTAAAACTAGTGGTAATTTCAATATAACCGTGAAATTGTGTCATTCAAATCTTCCTTTATTTTGGAAGAAAATCTACTCGCGTCGAAAGTTATTCGATTCGTTTTTCAAACCTAATTTTCGCAAAGCCACATAACGTAGAGTTGCGATAATTTCTCGGACCTGCATTGTGCGCCCCAGCTAACGATTGATAATTAAATGCACATGAATTCATGCATTCGTGTTACGAGGTACCTGGTGCAGTGCAGGACGTTTCATTTGAAACACTGTACAGATTCAATTAGTCAGACGTCAGAACCGTCCGTAAGGTAGCACGATTAGAATTATATTCTACAGGGACTTATACGTACTAATAATAATATTGATAATGGCGATATCTTGGCAGTAATATTCGTCACTCGCGAAATATTATTAAGCAGTCCTAGATACGGAAATTATGTTGCAAATCAGGCATTCGAGAGCTCTCGAAGAAAACTTCTCTCCTCGTATGCAATATTTGTGCAATTACATCGACGAAATCGTTCTTATTATTCGGAAGCGTCCAATTGATATTTTTTAGCAACACTAGGTTGCATGAAAATTGAGAAGCTTCTTAGGAAAAGATTTAGAAAAATACGCGTTGGACAAATTACAGCGTTGATTCGAATAGCTTCGACTTGTACTCGGAAACACAATTTAAATGATCCGGTGTCGATTATGACACTTTAGCGCCGCCGATCGATACGTCAACAACCTTCGCGTTCTTCGTAGATAGAACGTAGACGGTTGCATAAACGAAACCAAAAATGGTATTGACAGGTCCATTATTATATGCAATTAACCGCGTTTAAACGCGGCACGATGAACACAACAGAGCCCGCTTGTAAATATGAACAGGCGGGAGAGGCCGTTTTAATTATTCCGTCGGTGCTCATGAATAAGCATGAGCGGCTAAATTAATCTGGCTGGAACGCCGAAAATATCTCAAGAAACATGTGCTGGAAAACGGGGTGCCGACGAGAGTGCGACAAAGTGGCTTCACCGGAGAAAGTATAATTCCGACGGTGAATATGGGAATGTTCTTAGCGAACGTTAGCCGCTATGTAAACTGTATCTTTAACGAGGGCGATTCGAAGTTACGACGTTATTAGAGCATCATCTTCCATGCATGTGTCTCATGGAATAAACATAAGATGAACAATGTTAAATACGAAATTACATGAAGATAGTGTAATGAAAGGTAGTATAAGGAAAATGCAGAACTTAAAGCGAATAATGAACAGTAAATATATAATTTAATACGATTTGATGCAATTTAATGCAGTTTGACGCAATTTAATGTAATTTAATACAATTTAGTACAATTTAATACACTTTAATACAATTTAGTACAATTTAATATACTTTAATACAATTTAGTACAATTTAATACACTTTAATACAATTTAGTACAATTTAATATACTTTAATACAATTTAGTACAATTTAATACACTTTAATACAATTTAGTACAATTTAATACACTTTAATGCAATTTAATACTTGGAAACTCTTACCGGAGTGCGTTCAAAGTTATCGATTAGACTGCAGAACTTTATAAGTTAGAATAACAGTACAATTTTCTCTGATATCTCATTTTTCACTCCCCGAGCTCTTCGGTAATTAACGTGCAACATAATGTTGATATTCTAGTGTAGAAAGTTCGTTCCAGAGAACTCATTAAAAAGTTGACATGTTGTTATAATCCAGTTATCACCGCATCCACTATAAAACTGGCCGCAGTTTCCGCGCACCGAAATTTTATGCTAATTTACCCTGCAGGTCGGAACGATTGGTAGCAATAACCGTTAACGATACTTCGCAAAATATCGCGGCGATAATCCGAGTCCATCGGATGTACCATTATCGCTTCACCAATTATCGCGGTCGTTGATTCACGATCGCGGTTTGACGTGTTTCGAACGTTACGTTGCGTCCCGACGATTCGTCTCGTTGACAGCGTTTTTACCACAGACGACAGAATTTGTGTTCGGTTTTCCAAATGCAACGCAGGCCGGCGGCATAATTTTTACGGGCATCGAGGTCAAGCGTGGTCTACGTCGAAAGTCGTCAAACTCGAAACTTAATCCCGACGAGTTTCGGGTCTCCTAATTGTCTTTTATGACACGAAGATTGCCGAAAGTAATCTTCTACATAGCTGTATTTCTCGGCGGCTCGTCCGGTGCACACGGAGTGTCTCGTGTATCATGACTAAGACGCCGTTATGTTCGATATCGGGTTGCGCAAGCTCAGTTATCTTCGAATTACCTTCAGCAACCCTGAAATATTTGATACCGTATCCGGTGAGATATTCTGTCCTTCATACTTACAAGCGACGTTAACACGTTCGTTACCACTGGTGTACGTGCACCAAATACGAACGCGAGATACACGACGAGAGGATGACAGAATTCAACATTGTTTCCCTCCAAGATAAGCCTAACTTTATTTCGGCGCAACTCGGTTTGTGGTTATTGCAAGTTTAAGTATCGACGATCTTTTGAAAATCGAAAATTTAGTATATATTTAATGTGGTAGATTACATATGAGATATTAAATATAATACATCAAATATGGTAGATTAAATATGATGGATTGAATATGGTAGATTAAATATGATAGATTAAATATAATATATTATATATGATAGATTAAATATAATGGATTAAATATGACAGAATAAATATATAATAGATTAAATATGGTAGATTAAATATATTAGATTAAATTTGATAGATTAAATATGGTAGATTAAATATAATAGATTATATATGATAGATTAAATCTAATAGATGAAATCTAATAGATGAAGTTTAATCAATTAAATATCGCATAAGAAAACAAGGGAAAGTTATAAACGTTCACACGATATTCGCTATTTGTTTATACATATTTAAGAAAAAAAAATTGTATTCTATATAGATACTACCAGAAAAATTACGAATCAGTGCAAAATGAATGGTTTTAAAAAAAGTTGCTCTAATTTTGAGACCTGAGCAGATTCTTTCGTAAAAAAATGACTGAATGAGTTTCGCAATAATTCAAGTAGATGTAACGAAAATGGCGAAAAAGATGAACAACTTTATTCTTGTTATTTCTATAAAACAACCGATACCGCATATTTATCTAATCGTAAATTTGCTTTCTGTTTCAGGTGAGTAACACAATCTGTCCAATATTTTCGCGACTCGAATCGATCCGTGGCGCCAGATCGTTGGTCGCAGGTGAGTCTTATCTGCACACGATGCTTTGCCCTTTAATTACAATGGTGTACATACGAATGGAACAGGAAGTCGTGTTACTACAATCCCGAGCGAGCGTCTGCTCGGCGATAGTGTCGGGTTTACACTCGGCACCTAAATGCTCCGGTTAAAACCGCGATACCGCGGGAATAACGTACTGTCCCGCGCGAATAAGGTTCCCACGCATAATCGCTGAATTTAAGGACAGCCCGGACGTCGTAAAACCGATAAGGCGGGAACATTGCTTCGACAATTTTATTCAATTCGTTCTACGAGGCGAATTTCGCGGGCGAACAGCAAAGCTTCGCTTTCCGTGCCCGCAATATGCAATTTGCTCTGCGGAAACATGGCGCTGCGCGCGCGCGCGCGCGTGTGTAACTATGCCACTTACGTCAAGCGATAGTGACGGAATGCGTATATCGTGCGCATTAAGGTTTTTATTTTAATGGTAAGAACGAACCTTCTGTGTGTTTCTAGATTTTACAGAGCGCAAGATTTATCTTGGATTAAGCGTAGAATGTAATACGAAATTGTGTACCTTGTAGAAAATACAGTAAAAGAGTGTGATTGCCGTCTGGTGGCAACGAGAACGGTGTTGAATTATTTACTGAACTAGATTTTTAAATCGAATTCTCATGTTACGTTATCAACGGATTTATAATACATATTATTAGTATCATATGCCGATATCAGCATCATCGGAGTATTATTAATTTGTTTTCATTAGGATTACACTTTCTACTTTGCTAATTTTAATATTGTATTATTCGTAGGAACGAGGATGCACGAACAATATTTACACTTTTCACGACATTTTTATATATACATGTACACTTCTCGTATTTATATATGGGGTAAGTAGTGATAAATGAAATAATTAAATACATGGAAGCGTGATATGGAATCGTATCTTACTTGTTAGTAATAAACTATTGACAAGTTTCTGACACGAGAATGCATCGAGACACGAATTTGTTTTTAAATCTGATTAAAGAGTAGTGTCACCCAAATAATATCGATGCGTTGGCGATAGTCAATGTATTAACATTTAATAAACGGGTTGTTTTATCTCTGTCTTTCTCGGTTTCCGGGCATTTTTTAAGAGAATTAAATAAACATATTTAAAATCAAATAAACATGATTTCAAAGCGTTGCAGTTTTATTAAATCGGCGCTATTTTTGATAAGATTTTACAAAGTTATTTATTTACATGTCTAGTATTAATAATTATTTTATTATATATTATTTATATACATCATTATATGTATATATATTTTTAATAACACTTTATTAACACTAGATTGACTGAGCGAGTCAATTTGATTCATCTACGATTTTATTGCTATACATACATAGAAAAACTTAAATAATTTGTTTAAAACATATGTTGGTTATTTAATACATATGTTTTATATATATGCGTAAGACACGTGTTTAAAAAAAAATTATTTAAGTTTTTCCATACATATAGCAATAAAATTGTAAATGAATCGCTCCTGCAATCTAGCGCGAATAAAAATACAAGCAAAAACGTGAATCCGCCTGGCCCGACCTGGGAAGCCAGAATAAAAAAAAGACGTAAATTTACGCGACCCGTCCGTTAAGTGATAAGAAATCCTCGTCCACAAAAAGTGTCGGAATATCGATAGAACGGCAGCACGTACGGACGCCTTGCGAAGCAAACCGTAAACAGTCGGTGTTTACAATTTTGTCCGGCCGGGCTCGCGGAGCGGACGACACTGCGTGTCGGTTTGCTTGCCGGAATATCGAGTACTCTTTCCGCAGTCGATAATTCGGGTGGCCTGTAGAGCGCCGGGAGGGCCGATGACGCGATTTACATTTCACGCCGATGTCCTGCGGCGTTCTCCAAAGCTAAATCGCCGTTAAATCCGGTAACGTGGTCTCGGTTTACCCCGATACGAATGCCGAATATGCGCTTTTCGTGGATACCGCGGAACGGTGCTCGGGCCACTTTGCATTTCAGCTTAATTGACTGGTCTGTTACCGCTTTTCTTCCCGTGAATTGGGCCAACCGAATCGCTCGAATCGAACTGCACTCTGCGCTGCGCAGAGTCATCCCGTTGCAAGTTTACGTTGCGGAAACTCCAGGCAACCGACGGAGACTTCGCCGACGGTGCACGAGCGACACTATTCTTTAACCCGAGAAAGATAACCTACGTCGCAGAGGCGCCTGCGAAGACTGTTGATTTTTGTTAATTTTTTATAGAGGTCTAGTGATTTAAGTTTAAAATTACTTAAAATATAAAAAAATATAATATAAATGCATTTTATTTTTACGATAATGCCAAACCTTTAAAATGACTAGATTAACTTAAATAAATATCCATTGTTAGTATAAAATTGACGCCTTAGAAAAGCATGCGCCTCTGAAGCGTATGGTTATCTTT